CCCCAAAACCCCAAAACCCCTTGTTAATAGGATGTTAATATTTTCGGTAGAAAATAAAATAATTTCATTAAAATTAATCAAGCAATTATGATAAATGCAAAAAAATATATTTTTTCAAAAATAGAAATCGCAAAAGATAATTTAATTGAACTAATTTTTAAATAAACTTATAAAAATGCCAAAATTTTCGAAAGTTAATATAGCCATTATATTTTTGGCTCTGCTATTAGCAGTTTAAACATAGGCATAAGATCAATGTACCAATTACTAACTCTAATTTTTCAGGCCATAGCGATGAGTTTTATGACTCTCAATACGGAAATTGCTACAGTATTACTAATATTTTACCTTAATTAATTCATAGAGTGCGAATAGATAATATATGGATGCTAAAATTGTATTTCTGTGTATTTGGGAGGGTATCCGTTCGTTTAATGTAATTGATGTATGGATGGCTACTATCTCCTTAAAAACAAAACACATGCTGGAGATATTTATCCTGAATACTTTACTTTTTGTGTGCTTGATTGTAACTAAGTGCACCACAGATATGTAAATAATCCGATAACATCAGAATGCTCTGGTAAAAATTATTCCTCTATTTATGCTCTTTTAGATTGTGGATTGCATTGTAGTTCATGCAATCTAAAGTATGGATGTGAATCCTGTCCACAAGTTACTCAAAACCCATCAGTCCCTATTTCAAATTTATTAGTTTCATCTGAGATTTATTCCAGCACATTCAGACAATGTAAGGAATGCTCTAACTCAAAAGTTTGTTAAAAATGCTCCGATGATAATCCTAACGAATGCTCACTTTGCTATGAAGATTTTAAATAAGATATTACTGGCATTTGTGAATCATGCTATTAATCACCATCATTCGTTGCTTACGGCTAATTAACTGATCAATGCTCAAGCTGTCATGATGGATTCGGATTGGTATCAGGTAAATGTGTAAGATGCTACGATGATTAATGCCTTGAATGCTCTGGATCTTAAGATTGTACCTTATGTCCTCAGAAATATCAAACTGTACTTCAGCCCATAGCATAATGGAAGAATGAGAATGCTTATCAATGTCTAAGTATAATATTTATTTAAAACTAGAAATTTAGGTTGTAATTCTGGATAAGGTACTAATATGTATCCCGATTGTGCTAGTTGCGATATTGATTCAACTAATACTAGTGTAATAACTTGTAATTCGTGTATAAATGGATATTTAATGAAAGATTCATAATAGTGTGTGTCAAAATGTCCTATCGGTTATTATGGTTTAGCTGAATATTCCTATAGAGCAATGATTAAGACCTCAATTTGTGAAGTTTGCAACAGCACATGCGAGGAATGTTAAAACTAAATTTATTGTAGTTCCTGTAAAAAGGGTTATTATTTAGAGAAAATTTCCTTATTAGTAAGTTATGGTTACTGCAAACTTAAGTAGTCAAACTTCACAGAAGCTACTCTGTATGTTACTAATAAGGATATTACTGAAAATATTTAGTTGAGAGATGGAAGTATTTCAAAGCCTTTTGGTGACTTAGAAGATGCAATAGAGAGGGCTTATGAGATAGCAGCTTCATTTTATTTTGCTTCAATTACGATCCTTTTGTAAAATAGTGTTGAATATGGAAATTCTCATTATCTATTAAGGAGTGCTAGAGACTTTTACATTAGCAGGTATATTGATAAAGATTCACAAGGCTTAACTTTATTAATCAAGCCTGATTAATCAGTAGAAGGAACAATGATTGTTTATAATAAAAGAGCTGAAAGATTTCAAATGAATATTGGTGGAGGCCTTACTATATAAAACATTGAGTTTGATGGTTTAGATTCAATAATCCCTTACAGAAAAGATATCTCTGGTTGTCTTGGTTAAAAGATTAATTGCTGCTAAAATATTAATGGCATAATCTCATCATTGACAACCACTCAATGTATAGACAATTTAAATAATGATTTTTGGATCTCAAAGTAAATGATTTAATTTTATTTCCATTTATAGGTCAGATTATTGTTTATATGCTGATAGCATTTCAATTTTTAAGTTTGATTTATCCTATAAATCAACACTATAGAATCCATAAATTTTCAAATTATAGGTAAGATTTTTTTTATTGCTCAAATTATTTTAGGGTGTGAAATTCAGAAATTATTTCTTCAACTTCAACTCATTTATTGAGACTAATGACGTGACTAGTAAAATTCAGATTATAGACTCAAAATTTGAATACTTCTCATCATGCGGGGCAATCATTAGAAACTTCAGGACGAAATCAAAGCCATCAATTCTCGATAAATAAGATTATTCGACAGCAGCTCCTTTCAAGTATATCTTCAGATCTAACTAGTTGTAATATGAAGCTTCTAAAAGATTACTTCTAAAATAAGGAGTTATAGGATATTCCTGTTCTAATGATTGCTTTTAAATTCTAATATTCAATACAACTTTTGATAATTTTAACTTCAATAAAACAAAATAGAAGTTTAGCGTATTTGTAAAGAACAATGACAATTATATGAGATTTAAAGGAGTAATAATTAATCTGAAAAACTTTAAGGGTGATGTTATTTTGAACAAAATATAAGTTAGCAATACTTTAACACCATTTTTAAACTGTAATGTCTCAAAAGAATACTAAACTATGAGTGGTTTTGATAGCTATTATCAAAATGTTGCAATTCAGGCTGGAGATCATCCTTAAATTTAGAGTATTATATCAATTGTTGATCATAAATATTCTTTTCAACTTACAGATTCATTGTTCAAAAGAAATTCTGCTGTAAAAGGAATTGTTTACTTACAATTTGCAGTAGAGTCTAGTAATTAGCCATAGGTTATATCTAATAATACATTTTTAAGTAATGCAGGGTATTTTTAGAATGTAGGTCTCTTTATAAGAGCTTATGTCAATAGCAATATTTACGAATCTACAGTTCTTCAAAATTTCTAATGTAATGGCATCTAGGTTAGCAATAATAGTTTTAAATAAAATTTTGGATGCCCTTAATATGGAGGGAGTGTTTTTAAGATGGAATGTCTGACTACTTTGACAATAAATGGAATGGATGATACGTAACTAATAGACAAGAATGATATATATTTACAAAGAAATTCTTCTAATAATCCTTATGTAACTTATGATATTAAAGACACTTTAAGAAATCAAGAGATAAACTTTGACATTTAGACATAAAATTTAGTCCAGGTTTAGACATTTGATAATTAAACATTTCAAGTTGATATGAACAAGTTTTAACTGAATAATAATGTTTTTGAGTCTAACTATGGTAGTGCAAATTAAGGACTGGTAGACATTACAGGGATTAAAATTTTATCATTAGAAAATAACATATTCAAATCAAACGGAGAATCATCTGCTGAAGTTGCAAACAAATTATCTGACTTAAGTGTTTCAAATCTACTATACGTTGAAAATGATTAATTTGGCCAATATGAAAGTTCACTATAATAAGGAACTAGTAGCACCTACATGTTTATGATGGCCTTAATTTAATTGAACCACTGTTCTCAACTAAGATTAAAAAATATTTCTTTTGAAGGTAACTGGATTGAATCTGCAAACGATGGAGTAATAAGAGCTCAAATTTTGATGCTTAAAAATTTCTATGGATCTTTCATTCTAGATTAAAGCAAAATAGACAATCATCTAGGCTTACTTAATCCATTACCATAATTACTTTATCCCAACTATGCAAGCACTTATAATTACCAAGGTGGATAATTACCACTTCTAAGTGGAGAAGGATATGGGAATACAAAAATTTGATAAGTAATCATCACTAATACTATTTTAAGTAATTCTATTTTCTCATCCGACTAATCTTACAAAAGTGTATTTATGCACTTTAAGTCGTAAGCTATTTTTTAATTAATCAAATTAGATATCCTGGATCTTTCATGCCATCAGAGTTGATTTTGCTAGAAAGTCTCTAAATATATAACATTAGTTGTTATTAATGTGAAAACAAGCCTTATTTCTAGATTTATACTTAGAATTTCACTTTTAAAAACTCTAATTTTTCAGTTATTAACTAAGTTCAAGAGTCAGGTAATCAATAAATTTTTTTATAACTTTCAGGATACAACACTTTATTTGATATTAATTTTTTTGGAAAATCAAATCCTATTCAAGATATGATACTTGCACAAAATATATCAATTTCATATTTAAATGGAGCAAGAGGTGCAGTTTTCAAGTTATAGTAGTCATCATTGAGTTCATTGCAATTTTAAACTAATTTTATTATCAAAGGTAAGAAATAATCATTTAACATATTTAAGATTCTAAGCTCCTTAACATAACCTCGAACTCACATGGTGGATTTATATCTATTGAAAGTTATGGACTTGGAAATTCATCGTTCTTTATTCATAACTTAACTACTTACTTTTCTTATTCTTATGGAAATGGTAATTTTAATATTTACCTAATTTCAATTAAAGGGGGCTTAATTTATGGTTAATATGACACAATATTGAAAAGAAAAATAGTTGATAAAATAATTATAAGTATCTCTCAAATTATTCAGACAGGGGCGAAATATCTTGGGCACGCAGTCTACATTTAACAAATCTAAGATTTCTATCTCCTAGTTAATGTATCATAGGCAGTTTGCTTTCAAAACTATTCATTTGAATTATATAAGTCACTATCTGAAGGTGAAGATATAACAGGAAAAGCAAATGCATTAATGGCTGGTGTAAAAAGCAATAATCTTTATAATCAAGGTTCCTTATTTTATATTGAAACTCAAGCAGAAGCTACCTATATCTCTTACTAAAATAGTATCTATTAATGTATTCTTGCATATAAAGGTGCTACAATAAGTTTAATTTCTAAGAATTCCTCAATATATGATTTAGAAACCTCTTACAAGTTCACAGCTTCAATATATGGGGGCTGCTACTATTGCAAGAATTGTTATTAATATTCGGTTAGAAATCCCAAATATGACTTTAGCTTTGGATATTTTGGTGGTTTAGCTTACCTTGAATACGAAGATTCATCGCATGAAAGAATAATCCTAAACTTTTAGAATTATGTAATATCAAATATTATTGGATGGACAAAAGGAGGATTGCTTAATTTAGAAGGAGGCAATAACACTTTCGAAATTAATCTAGTTCATAGCAATATAGCAGAAATGATAAGTGGTTTAGAGAATTATTAAAATGGCACCAATTACGGAGGAGGCGGTGTTTTTCATATTACAGCCTACAAACTTTATGCTAATATCTTCAATGTTAGTTTTTAAGACATTTCTGGTTCAAGTTATGGATATGGTGGTATATTTCATTTTGTTGGGAATTAATCCATAGAGATTAATATTACTAATTGTTATGTATTTGATGCAACTACCGAGCAGATGGGTTAAATAATCTATGGATATTCTTAGAAAGAAATTACATTGAATCTTAATAATAATACGTTCATTGGTGTGAATTACACATTTAGCACTGTGTATGATATCGGAACTTATATGCAAACTCAATCTCTGAAGACTCCGGGATTTTTCTTAATATCGAGCAGTTAAAAAGAAATTAGGATTTATTCGAAAAATAACACTTTCAAGAATTTCGTTTTTGCTGGATCAACAGGAAACAATGCAGCTGGAGGAGTGTTCAGTTTGCTTTAGAATACATATTTCGATGATTTTAACTCAACTTTCTAATGTAGGATTCACTAAAATATAAATTTAATCTTAATTTCATAATATAGATAATGCGGCAATTTAGGCAGGCTCTTTTTTCTGTTCTAATTGTTCAATCAAACTGAATTATACAAGGACAGATTATTCAATCTCAGAATTTGGTGGATTCATATATGTTGATGAAATTGGAGGAAGAATTGAAATTTACAATTCAATAATTAGAAATAGCTATTCCTAAGACTCAGGAGGATTTATATTTTTCTCATAGGGTATTTTGTATGATGATTCTTCAGAATTTATATTTAAAAATGTAAGTTTTTCGAATACGGGTTCATATTTTGGAGGAGGCCTAATAGCTATCAATTGTGAGTATTGTAGAATGTATTTTGATTTGTGTAACTTCACTAAATCTGCTGTTGCAGGTCTAGACTTTGGAAAAGGAACTTTTAATGATGGAGGATTTTTTCATATAAGTGGCTTGGCTTATCTAGAAATAAAGAATAGCAGGTTTGTTGATTTAGATACTTAACAAGTTTTGGATGTTTTCAACAACCTAACATAATCAATAAAAGTGTCCTCTTAATATCAATAATTGTATGGAAGTATCATATTATATGCAGAACTTAATACAAAGATGAAGATCTAGTTGTCAAATAACTTAATTTCTTTCTCCACTACTAACAAGATATCAGATTTCATTAATGGCCTTAGAAGTAATCTAGAAGATCAGGAAAAGATAAACAACACTTACTAATCTTTATTTAAAATAAAATGCTAAAATAGATCAAACTGTATTTTAAATTAAACTAATTCCACTTTGATGAATAACTTCATTGGAGATACAGGTTCAATTTTTAACTTGCAAAACATTTAATTCTTTGATTAAAACTCTCATTATCTCTAAAATGGGGCTATCAATGGTGGAATTATATATGCTTAAAATTCAAATCTAACATTTGACAGCAACACTTATAACTATAATTTTGCATTTTCTGGAGCGATAGCTCAAATTTCCGACGAGTCTAACTTCCTCATGAAAAATTCTTTTATCAGTAAAAGTGGATGTAAATTTAGAGGTGGATCTTTCGATGTAATTTTAGCAATATCTTCTTCTATTAGTAAGACATCATTTCAGCTCATTTCATCCTCATTTGAACATACTTTTGCAATGAATTCAGGAGGATTAGTTGCTTTTGATAATGAAAATGTAGATTTGATCATAAAAAATTGTAGATTTAACAATCATACAGCTTACGAATAAAACGGAGGAGTGTTAAATATCTTAAATGCTTAATATATAATTCTTGAAGAAAATAATTTTCAGCTTGTTTATGCTCGCAATTAAGGTGCTTTAATGTTCGCTTCTTCAATATCCATAAAATCAATCAAACTTCTAAGTAACTATATCAGATGTTAACCTAACTATGAGAGACAACACATTTTGGATTCTTTGGCAGAGGGCTCTAGTATTGAAATATAAGCACAAAATACCTTCTATATTTCATAAGTGGTAAAAATAACCTCACAATTCAATGAATTTACCTAATGCAACTTCAAGCAGATCGGAGGGGTATTTTACTTGGATAGATCTACATTCTCAGATAAGAATTCTCAGTTTACATACAATAGTGCCAAAAGTGGAGGGGTAATTGCTTGCACTTAATGTCAATTGCACTTAACAGACACAATCTTTGAATTCAATATGGCTTATTAAGGTGCCGTTATAACTTTAGATAACATTGCCTCTCTTTATGGATCATATCTCTAAATGTCAAACAATTACGTAATTGAATCTGCTGGGTGCATCTTAGCAAGAACTAATTCTCTATTTGAAATTACAAATTCTAAGTTTTATCTGAACACTGCAGAGAATTCAAATTCAGTCATTTAAGCTTTGGGTACAAACTAACTTGTACTACAATCATGCTAATTTATTAATAATACTGCCAAATCTAACACATTCTCAATTCAATATGCAAAGATTAAGATAATAACCAGTAGTTTCCTGAATAATTATGCAACTTCTTCTTCAAAAAATATATTTCTTGGATTTTCTGATGTGGTCATTTAAGGATGCAACTTTTAGGAATTCCAGGTATCTTTGAAAAAAAATATTTCAACTAAGGACTATCATTTCGCTTTATTGAAAGAAGACTAAACTACTGGTGCATTTATAAACTGTATTCTAAGTGTTTAGCTTAAGATATCAAATTCTCAATTCAAATATGGATCTTCAAGCAACGGAGGAGCAATATATGTTTCAGGAGGTAAAATTAAGTTTTCTAAAAAATTATTATAGAGTCTTTTATATACCTATCTAATGTCTAATTCATTGAAAATTTTGCAAATGCTTATGGTGGAGCAATTTATGGGACTGGGATTAATTTAATATAGATAGATTAAAACTCAAATTTTAAAGACAATTATGCTAGGCTTCGTGGAGATGATTTATTTGTTAGAAACTCAAAGAATATTTCTATAACTAACGCTTAATTTCAAAGCATTTACTCAAAGAATTCTTTGTACTTTGAGACTATTTAGGTTTCATTATATAGTATTAAGATAACAAGTAATTTCAATCAAAATTAACATATATTTCTAGATAATTCTAAAAATAATGAAACTGCAGAAAATGGTGGAGCGATAGTATGTCTTGATTGCTATGGATTTCATTTATAAGACTCGACATTTTAAAATTTGAAAGCATTATAAGGAGGATGTATAAGCTTTGTTTAAACTAGCAATAGTAGATAAGGTTACCTATACATGATTAGGAATTCGTTATTTGAAGGCTGTACTGCTAGTAGGTCTTCAGGTGGTGCAATTTCATTATTAAATACTTAGCTAATGGAAATTACTGATTCTTAATTTATTGGTAATTAGAGTCCTACAAATGGTGGTGCAATTTATTATTAATGTGATTTATCAGCCTCGGAATCATGCACGCTTAATATTAATAAAACTAATTTTTCAAGAAATAAAGCATTGATCTCAGGTGGCGCTATTTACTGGGAAGATGTCGAACCTAATTTTTTACAAAAGGTAACATTCAAAGATAATTTAGCTGGAATTTATGGTAATGATATCGGTGCATTTGCTTAGAAAATAGCCTAAATAACTGAATCTTAATTACAGACAGCAAGAGGTGAGAAATAAGATGAAAGAAATAGAATTCTTTAGGAAATTAAGACTTAAAATGAACTATCATCAGTAAGAAGTGGCTAAACAATCCCAACCTTCTATCTTGCTCTTGTTGATAAATATAATCAAATAGTAAAAATTGATGATTCTAGTAAATTAACAGTTAGAGTTGACACTTAATTTACTGAAGGAAATTAATAAGCTTTATAATATGCTCCTGTAGTGTAAGGATAATCATAGTTTGTGTCATAAAATGGAACTTTCAAAGTTTCAGATATTATTTTCATTGCAACCCCTGGTTATTCATTTAGAATATCTTTTTCATCTGATGGGATAGATAAGACTAAGCCCTCAAATTAAAAATATTTAGAAGATTTAAAGGATAAAAATCAAACTGATATTAATTTTAACCTTGAATTATAGTTAAGAGAATGTGAGATTGGTGAGTAATTCAGTGACTCTGGATAGTAATTATTTTTTATTTACCTAAAATTAGGTGTAACTTATGTTAAAATAAGACATCCTACAATTTGATTAAGTAAACTTCTCCAGGCTAATGTTAAGAATGCCCAACAGATAAAGCTGTGTGCTTAGGTGGATCAAATATTGGCCCATAGCCAAATTATTGGAGAAAAAGTAATTAGACAGATGTCTTTATCATGTGTTTAAGACCTGAATCTTGCTTGTACAAATTTTAAATTAACAATATTTAGGGGTCTTACAAGTGAAGAAAATGATCCAAAAGGTTCATGTTATGAAGGCTATCAAGGAATATTATGTGCAGATTGCTGGGATGGATATAGTAGAACAGGAGATTTTGAATGCTAGTTATGTCCAGAATATTATATAAACATTTTAAGGCTGTTAGGAACTTCAATTGGAGTAGGAATAGGCATGGTATTTTTGATTAGATCTACTCTAAAAGGAGCAACTTAAAAAAAGAATATTTTGTCAATTTTCACTAAGATTTTACTAAATCACCTACAGTTGCTTTTGATATCCTCTTCGTTTAACTTCTAATGGCCTGATGCTATCACTTAATTTTACAGTTCATTTAAGCCAGTCTCATAGACAGCTCAATAAATTATTTCTATTGATTGCTTTTTGAGTGGAACTGATCCTGAAAATATTAAAAAAGATGAATATGGAAAGAAGACTACCTTTATTTATGGATTTGAAAGGATTATTTATGTTAAGTTATTCTTTATGGCTTTGTTGCCAATAATCCTATTTATCATCTGCTATGGCTCTTGGGCAATTATATCATGTAGAAAAAGAGATGAGTAACTTTTAAGAACTAGAGCTATATCATCAGTTGTTATTTTATTTTTCTTTGTATACTCTAACATTGTTACTTAAATGTTGGATGCATTTAACTGTATTAACATTGATGGAGAATCTCGGTTAAAAAATGATTTAGAGATTGTATGCTATTAAGGTACTCATAGATATATGATATTTGGAGTCGCCTTACCAGCTCTACTTGCTTGGGGTTTAGGCATTCCATTTTTTGCATCTTAGCTGATATTTTAGGAAAGGCATAAACTTGATTCATTGGAAACTAGATCTAAGTATGGTTTTCTATATAGAGGTTACAAAAAGAAATTCTATTATTGGGAAAGTGTTATTATGTATCGCAAAACAATTTTGATTTTTATCTCTGTCTTTTTTATTCGCTATGGGGTAATTGTCTAGGCTCTTGTAGTGCTTTTGCTTTTAATTTTCGGAATCACGAAGTAACTTATTTTGAAGCCATATTAAACAATGGAATTAAATCTCCTAGAGCTTTTGTCATTGTATGCATCTAACATTACAATCTACATTGGCATATTTTTTATCATCAATACAGTTGATAGCAAAGAATCTCAATCTTTTTAATGTAATTTAATAAATAAATTTACTTGATATAGTCTCTGGATTATCTGATGACAGCAAAATGTTTTTCTTTGTAATAATCTTAATTTCAAATATGAGCTTTTTCATAATTTGGATATATTATTTCTTGCTGGAGTTGAAAGAGAATGTAATCAAGAAAATGCCATGGATATATTTGAACTTTTTTGCTTGTGGTAACCGTTAAAAATTCAATCTAAACAGGGCTAAGGCATTTATCAAAGAAGAAAATGAGATACTTAGAGAAGAATACATGAATAGTAAATTATAAGGTTAATCTTAATTTCATAATTTTAGTATTAAAAGAGCTGAGAAAGTTATATGACAGAGGTGAATTAGTCCTTAATCATTCTAATCTTGAGAGAATCTAACTCTATCTTAGTACAGAAAGGCTGCTTGAAAACATTGGCATTAAGAACATAGATGAAGATTCACTTAAGCATTAAACAATTATTAGAAAAATGAGAAAAGAACAAGATAAGTTACTTCATACCTTTCTAGATAATTCAGCTGAAGGTCCAGAAACTGCAAAAAGCATTTAATAATAGAAAAATATTAAGAAAATGATAGACTTTATTGAGTATGATACTGAGAAAGTGAGAAGAAATGAAAGAATCGCTTATTAACCAGAAACTTTTTGCGAGTCTAACTTCAAAAGCAACTCCTTACATTAGCTGAACTTGGAGAGAATTACTAGTTCATAGATTACAAGAAAGCCTAGCCAAAATAACTAAACATATACAGATAAGAATTTCACTTTAAGCTAAAACATGATTAGAGATACTCCTTCTAATAGCAATATGAGTTAAAACCCTTTAATTTACGATGAGCAATCTTAAAGACATAAATTATCTGAAGAGATCGAAAATGAGCAAACTAAGTATTAATATCTCTCAAGTCGATAGATGTTTTTAGATCTTGAGGATTCTTAAAGATAACTAAATACTTAAAGACCTAGTAGTCACAAAGTCTATCCAATCTCTGAAAATGAAGAAAATGATCTTCTCTCATTAGAGTTAATGAGTGAGGAGGAATAAGTTGATAAGTTTTAAAATCAGATATCAAAAGTTAATGATCTTATAAAGTCGACTATTGAAGAAGATAACAACTTACATATTTTAAAGGTAAAAAGAAATTGGAATAGAAGTAAAAGATTCGGGAAAAACAGGATTGAAAATAGGACTAAAATAAACAAGCAAAATAAAAATGAAATAGCCAAGTAAAATGATTTAAAGGAGCATTAAGATCTTCATAAGACTCTGATGTAGAGGAATTAAGGCTTAGGATATAAATCTGTTGAAAATTTGAAAGTTTAGATGACTATATTAATCGGGGATAAAATCTAAAATGAAGAAAAGCAGATGGTTTAAGAGAAAAATAAATAAAAGAAGATTTTCAACTTAAATCATCAAAATTAGAGTGGAGAAGATTATCTTGAATATTTTGAAAATAGCTAAGAAAACAATGATACAGATAAAGACATTGATATTCAAATAGTTAAGAAGAATCTAAATACAAAGTCAGATGAAGATGAAAACGAAATGCATTAAAATTTGAAGATAAATGAAGTGAGTGCTTCATTTGTTATAAACGAGGAACTCTCTAAAATATGAGTATAGGCTTGAAAAGACCCATAAGTTATTTTAGAGATTAAATTGATCAAACTATAGCAGAAATTAGAAAGAATGGATCTTAATTAAGAATTGGAATATTTTAAATAAAAATTAGACTATATTATGATGAATTTAATTGATTTTGATTAAAAATATTTATTTTCTTGCAAGTTAGAATATATTTTACATCTTGGGGTTTTGGGGTTTTGGGG